TATATATATTAATTGAGCTCATAAATTTATACATGCAGGTTCAATCAATGGCTATATTAGCATTAAAATTAGGTTTTTTAATCGAAGAATATGCTAGTACAAAAGGACGTTATCCACCAATTAAACGGCGAAGGAAAAACAGTCTTTACATATGTACCATAGAGAAAGCATTAGGACTTGTAAATAGTTTAATAGAAACGAAACGCTTAACTGAAGTAAGCTGAAATATTAATAACTAATTATTGCAGTTATATATTATATAGATTGTATTATTGTAATGCAGAAAAAAATTTTAGATTGGTATTATAGTTGTTGATGAATTACATCTGCTTGGAGAATCTGGAAGAGGAGCCACGTTAGAAGGGCTACTTACAAAAATAATGTTCTTCAGTGGTAATTACAGATATTTAAGTGAAATTATTTAGAAATTCGATTGTATATCACAACTTAATCGAAAATTACAAAAATGAATTTATTAGAATATTTATAATTCCATTGATCAACATCTTTAATGAATTTGCTCTCTTTTATTTTCATTAAGTGTGACAATTGAATTCTAGGAAATACAAATATTTTCTAAAAATTGCTTTTTAATGAAATATCTATTTTTTATAGATATGATACGCTTAATTGGGATGAGCGCGACGATAGGTAATTTAAAAGAAATCGCGCAATTTCTTAACGCAGATACATACTCTCAAAACTTTCGACCAGTTAAAATAACAGAATATGTAAAATGTGAAAATGATATGTGGGTAATTAACTTGAATAATGAAGAATTATTGATAGATATGAGCACCAATGATTACAAGGTGATATAATCAAAAGTTTTACTTTACAAGATCTTTGCATAAAAGATAATGTCAAATAATATAATTTTATTATCAAGTACTCAGATGATGTAGCAATACTAGATCCAGACAGAATTGGAGGTTTGATAATGGAAGTAGTGCCAAATGATTCCTGCCTTATATTCTGCTCAAGTCGTAAAAATTGTGAGAATCTGGCTTTATTATTAGCCAAAATTTTATCTAAGTAAGACTTTATCATGTTTATTTTAAATTTTTCTTATAAGTATGTATTGTATTAACTTAAGCAAGATGACGTTTTAATGATGTATCTTATTGACGTTATGGACATTATTTGATGACTTTTATTCTTTTGACATCACCTTGTAAGTTAAAAAATATATAGCGTATTATAAATATCCAAATTTCATTATTTTAGGGATTTATATAATTACAAAGTAAACGAAAAGATGAGCTTGTTAAATGCACTTAAAACTGAAGAAGGATTATGCTCTATTTTGCAAAAAACTATCAAACTTGGCATAGCCTACCATCATTCTGGACTTACGTCCGAAGAACGGCGCTTAATAGAGGATGCTTTTAGAGAAAGTACTCTATGTGTAATATGTTGCACGTCAACTTTAGCGGCTGGTATCAATTTGCCAGCAAGGAGGGTAATTAAATCATTAATATAATAATAATGTATGGCTAATTATTACAGCTGTTAATAATATTGTCTTTTATTAGGTAATACTACGTAGTCCTTATGTTGGTAATCAGTTTTTAAATTTAAGTAGATACAAACAAATGATTGGTCGAGCAGGTCGTGCTGGTATGGGAGTTTTAGGAGAAAGTATACTTATCTGTAAAAAGTCCGAGATCAGTAAAGTAAGAATTTGTAAAATAGACTAAAATTAAAGTATAATTAATTATTTTAAAAACTAAAACATAACTTACATTATAGGTAAAAGATCTCTTGACTTCTCAAATGGACGACTCGCTGAGCAGTTTATATATAGAAAATAACAAGGGATTGAACAATCTGATTCTAAGTGCAATACAATTAAACATAGCGTCAACTAGATCTGAATTGCATAAATTAACAACTGCAACATTACTCAGTATTCAACAAAATAGAATAGGCGTTAATCTAAAAACAATAACAGATGAAACAATAACAGCATTATTAAAATGTGGTATAATAAAAGTAAAGAGCAAAGATAGTAATACTGGTAATCCTAATGTAACTGTGGTCATTCCATCTCAAACATCAACGTGTAAGAAGAATTTGTCAGTTAAAAAGGAAGTAAAAACAGTCACATTTACAAGTGAAACTGAGTTTCAGCTTTGTGATTTGGGACAAGCTGCAATGAAAGGTAACAAGTTTTTATTTATTTTTGATATATTCAAACATCTTCATAATATACTTCAGATTCGTTGCAGGGCCGATTGATTTAAAAACTGCATATACATTGTATGAGGATTTAAAAACAGCTCAGAAACATTTAATATTAATTGATAATCTACATCTTTTATATCTTGTCACACCTTATGATAGTATATCTCAAATCACTCCCATCGGCAGTATTTATTATGATGTGGTAATATTATCTGTGTTTTTATATATCAATATTGTAAGTATTGCCATAAATGTTTTATATTGTTCAAGATAATGGAGTTAACTGAAAGTCAAATGCAAGTTGCTAGACTTCTTGGAATAACAGAAGCTGCGGCTAATAAAATACGTGATGGTATAATACCTAAGGTCAGTTTATTATCAAATAAGTGAAATTATACTTAAACGCACTATTTTATTTAGAAAAGAAAATTTAATTTTATATAGTTTATCGAGAAGAGAGTAGTTCACAGATTTTATGTGACACTAATAGTACATGAATTATGGAATCATCATACAGTTTATTCTGTTGCTGAGAAATATCAAGTTAATAGAGGTATTATACAAAGTCTTTTAAATACGGTTTCAATGTTCGCATCTTCTGTAGTCAGATTTTGTCAGGTGAATAAATGAGTTATTAGCTTAATGCTTATAATATGATGAGAGAATATAATATACTAGAAAAATTTAAATTATATATAAATTATCAATCTTAAAAAATATATCAATCTGTTATATTATAGGAATTACCTGAGTTTTGGGCATTTACTGAAATGTTAAATACATTCAGTAAAAAACTATCTTATTGTTGTCCATTAGAACTAGAAAAATTGATGGAACTTCCATCAGTTAAAATAGTAAGCTAATTATTATTATTACATATATAGTACATTACGTTCAAGTATTTAAAGATCAAATCTATACACATACGCACGCACGCACGCGTGTACTACCTATCATTTTATCATTCTTTATTACAGGGTAGAGCTCGTCAATTGTACAAAGCCGGTTATAAAACTTTACAATCTATAGCGAAAGCCGATTCTAAGGAAGTTAAGAAAAATATTCCATATTTAAGTAATAAAATAGTCACGCAAATTATAGCTGCTGCAAAAGTAAGTCATATAATCTATAAGAAAATACTTACTACTTTTATGTTCTTCTTACTTATGGTAAATTACAGCTTTTAATATTGCAAAGAGCAGAAGATTTAAAAGATGAGCGTGAAGACATTTTGGATGGTATAGATATAAGTCAAATAGAAATAGGGATGTAAATAAGATAAATTCAAATTATAAATATAAGTCAAATAGAAATAAGTATGTAGATAAGATAAAATTTTTCTAATAAGACTGTTCAGTTTGGATGTAAGCTGCTACTTTTTTCTGCATATAATGAATAATAAGGATAGAATGAAATACATCTAAACAAACGCAATTGTCCAAAATTGTTTCTAAATGAGATTTATAAGTCTTTATTAATTTTTGAATATTTTTATTAATTAGAGATTTGATTAGGTTAAATTATAAAATTTGGTATATCAATGTCGATAGGAGTGCTAATGTAGCGGTATTTATATAAAATGGGGATCCGTATGATATAGATATCCATGCGATGTGTTCAATCACTCGCATGATCTGGATATTCTTATGACGTAATTATATTATTAAAAATATCAATTTTTATTCTTGAATGTACATAAAATTTATAATTGAAACGATAAAAAACTTAGTGTAGACTTACATTGACAATAAATAAAATTGATTTAACTT